CTTATCTTTGATTTGCATTCAGTCCTCCCTCAATAGTCCTTAAGCCTGTTATTTAATTCATTTTGGAGCCAGGGTTCATCACAAAGCAAAAACCCGAAGCGAGACCTATGCAGTCCGTGACCTCCAAACCCCTCGTCTTTTCTTGTCAGTTCTATGTCATTTGTGCAGTTGAACTCCACCAATTTGAAATGCTGACCTCTTCCATAGGCAACCTTATTCTCCTTTCGTGAAAGAAAAGCCCAGAGCCGACAAACCACTCAAGCGGGAGATGGCAAGAAAAGAGAAAAGTGGTTGACTCATAAATCAATTTCCAAGCCCACCCAAAACCCACACACTCATTGAATGTGTGTAAATTTTTAAAATTTTGCTGAATGGGTTTACAAAGAAGAGAGCTCTGAGCACACTGGTTTTTAGAAGTTGTGAATTGGAAACAGAAAGGATAGAAGTGAACACCCGGCTCCCAGTGTACCAGAACCACACGAAGGCCCCTCTCTTATGCCTGGACTCCCCAGGGATGCTTGAAAAGAAAGGTACAAAACAAGCATAGGGCTAAAGTCCAGTGTCCCTGGCACAGGCATCAGAGGGGTGGGTGGACTTCAGTTACAGAGCCTCGGAGATGCTCAGCCAGGAGCGGGCTGGCCGTGGCCCCCGTAGCGTGTGCTGTGCGTCTGCCTGTACCCAGATTTGCCCTTGCCAGGTGCAGGTCCTGCCCACCCTACAATGTAGAACTTGATCAAAGTGGGACACCTGTGATTCGAGTAGCCGATTTGTTTTTGTTGCTGTGTCTGTCACTTCTCATCAAGCCAGACATAAACTACAAGAGATGATTGAAATACACAGTGAATATGTAATTTTTAAAAAATTATCACAGTGATACATATTGCTATGTTTCCCCATCAAAATTCTCCTCCTCTTTGAGCCCACTGATCCCTCCATTCTTGCGCCTCTCTGAAGCTGCTCTGGACGCCCTCTTTCATGAGTGTCTTTACAGGGTGTGATAAAAAATGCGGTGAATGCTGCTGCCGAGTGCCCTCCAACAGAAAGGCAGGCACAAAAAACCACGAGGCTGTGTCCTCATCCACCTGATTCACTGGATCTGGCCCCGCACGACTTCTGGCTCTTCCCCAAAACCAACATGATCATGAAAGGTGAATGCTTTGAATCAGTTCAGGACATTAAGGCAGCCAGGACAGCCTAATTAAAGACAGTCAGGAAGAGGGCTTCCTGGCCTGCTTCAGAAAGTGACAAGGATGATGTGATGAACGTATTCAAAGCAAGTGGGAGCATTTGGGGGAGGACTCCTGTGTCTCTTACTATAATGAAAAAAATTTTAATTTAATCACACACTATAGTTTCCATCACACCTACTATCTACTATATACTGTTATTTAATTCAAATCCACACATACTGAGACACTTTCTGGGTGTCTGTACTAGGCTCTGAGAATTTGAGATATAGTCTTTTTCTGAAATATCTAACAGTTGAGCATGTAAATAGAGCATAAAAGCTCCCTGATACAGGAAAAAATTATGAGAATAGAAATATGAGTCTCTGCTTTAACACATTAATCAGTTTTTCTTAGATTCCCCCCCATGCTCCCATTTTCTTGCTATAAGGATTTTTAGGCTGAAAAGACAATTCCCAAATCAATTTGCTTTTGCTGAAGTCCATTCCTTCTGTTCCCTAGACCTCCTGACACCTAAAGAGTAAAAATGCATAGTTCCTTTCTTGTGTTCTGAAAATTGAGTTTCCCCCATTATGAAGCACATGCCACGGAACTCTTTTATTTCAGTTACTTTCAAGATTCATAAAACATTGTTTGACAATTAATAAGGACACACAGATTGTTAGAGTTGAGTGAGATAAAGCATCGTGGAGTTTCCTGGCTCCTTTTCTTAAGAGCTATTTTTCTTGGAGCCACAGAAGGCTCCTTGTAACTTCTGGTGGCCAATATGAAAAAGTTCATCCTGTCTCTTCTCTTGAAGCAGGCTTTACTGAATAAAAGTGAATCTGGAAGTTTCTCTCAGTTCTAAATAGTTTAAAGTCTTTGGATTTTGATGGTTTCTTCCACCCTAGGGGGAAAAAAGGCAAAGCCATCAACAAATAAATTATGGGAAATTGTGGTTAAGGCAACTAAATAACAACGGAAGATACGAAAGCTCCAGAGAAAACAGTGATTGATCTGTGCAAAGTGGGGTCAAGGAAGACTTCCAGGGAGAAGTGATACTCAAGAGGTCAGATCACCACACAGGATACCTGCCGAGGCAGAGAGGAGACAAAAAGCAGAATGTGTGTGGAAAATTCTAAGAGATGTGGCATTGCTGGGGTGCAGGGGCAAACAGGAGTAGTTGGAGATCTGGTGGGGCTACAGACAGAAGCCGTGTCACCAAAGCCCTTCTCAATCTCTCAGTAGGATGGAAGTTCCACGAGAGAGGCCGCCATGTTTCTTTTATTTCAGATGACCCTGATACTGCCGAGCAGGCTGCTGACAGGTAGCAAGAAGTCCATCAGTGTTTGTGGAATGACTAAAGAAACTACTCTTGTGGACAGTGGGGAAACCACAGGAGTATCTGCAGCAAAGGAGAGAGAATTTACCCACTTAAGAAAGACAGTGTCCTTGGAAGTCAGGTGCTCTGTACACTAGTTTTACAGCGCTGAGGTGGCCACAATGTAGAGGATGGATGGAGACTACTGCAGACAGAAGTCTTGGGAGAAACCGTGAGATCCTAAAGAAAGGTCGAAGCAGCTATGGGACTGAGAATGCAGAGGCTGAACCTAAGATATATCTAAAAAGTCGGGACGCAAGACATTGTTTACAATGCATGTGCCTAATGTTTCCTTCAAACTTCTGGATACCTTTAGAGCCAAAATACTTCTAAATTTGAAAGGTGACGTGTCTAATCCTTAATCTAGGGAAAGAGCACAATAAATAATTTGAATATTTTTTCTGCTTTTTCTGGAATTTTAAGGCATCACGTGGAATATTTTGGAGCTGAGGGAACCACTGGGTGGAGAGGATGAGAGGGGATCAGAAGTGACTCCCCGTCTTGTGGTTGGAAACATTGGGTGGATGGAAATATCACAAACCAAGACTGGGGAGATGGTCTTTCCAGCAACACTGCTCTCAGAGCCCACTAAATCCTTAATGTGGGCTGGGTTAAGACCCATAGAGGCATTAGGAATGTGAAAATCAGGAAAGAGTAAAGACATAGTTTACAGGCCCGGCAGGTGCTACAGGCAGATATCAGTAATGAGGGAAACTGGTTGGAGAAAACTTCACCTGGCATTGATGGTTTGACAGTCTTACAATCTGGAAATACTGATAAGATAGCTTTCTAACAGACTACATGCAGCCAGGGATGTAGCTCAGTGGCACAGCACCTGCCTTGCAAGTGCAAGGTCCTGAGTTCGATTCCAAGTACCAAAAAATGAAAGAAAGGAAAAGAAAAGAAGAAAAACTACACCAGAATTCTTGCCATTCATCCTAATCTTGGACTCCTGCTGGGTGTCACCTGGGACAGGCCACTCACTGTTTCTATTATCTTGTGACTCAGGCAGTTGAAGGTAACCTTAGGGTGGGGCTACCTTTAAAATGCAGTAGCTCCATAAGTGATGTTGGAAAATCAGACCCTGCCTTCCCACTTAAAAGTACAGACAGACCATGAGGATTAAAAGGACTGCAGACAGGTCCAGGCTGAGGGTGAGGCCCATGAACTGATGTGAAGTGTCGCCTGGGCTGAAATCTACTGTGCAAGGAATCTCGAATCTTTCAGACCCAATGCCTAGCTTCATTTCCTTCGTGTTAGTAGAACACTACCTGTTTTTGAAGCAGTGATGTGCTGGGTTTAAAAAGGAAAATCCCAGCCTGATTTCATTTTATTTTTGGAAGTTCTCAGAATGGAGCCCAGAAACTTCATACTGAGCATTTGGTCCCCAGCCTTTTTTTTTCTTTTGAGACAGAGTCTTGCTAAGTTACTACACTGCCCAGCCTGAGCTCTAACATGTAATCCTCCTGCCTCAGCCTTCCAGAGTTCTAGGAGTACAGGCTGGCTACCTCCCGCCTCATTTTAGAAGTGAGCAGCTTCAACCGGCACAATCCTTTTGCTCTTGATCCTTCCTCCACTTGCTTAAAAGCACATGTGGTCAGGAGGTGGAGCAATCTTCCTGGGACCACAAGACAGCAAGCTAAATGCCAAGGAGGGCTGGGGAAAAGCCCAGCAGCATCTGTGACCCTCGTGGCACTGTGGGGCACCACACACCCAGAGTGGATTTCGACAAGTGGGCTTCTCAGGGAGGGGGGAAGGGGAGAGGGAAAGGAGTGGGATAGAGGAGGAGGGTGGGGGGCACAGGAGAGAGCGGGGAGCGAAGGAAAAAAGCCCACCCTTTGGTCTCCAATCATAGCTGGGATTTTCTGCTCACGCCCTCAAGCCTATTTCTGGTAAAAGTGATAACGACCTCCCTTGTAGAATGATGAACAAGCTCATCTCCCTGCAACATTTACAATGCTTGAAGATGTGCATGTAATAAATTACTGCTTCCAGTTCACAGACACTAAGAACCCTAAGGGAAGGTTCCCCAGGGCAGAGACCTCATCTGTAGCCCTACTGCCCAGCACAGACCAATGCCCACTCCCTATGAGTGATGGGAAGGGAAACAACCTCTTCCACCTAAGGCTGATTTCATCTGTGTGACACCTGCCGGCTCATCATTCGGTCCACCCGGCTGCCCGGCCCTGCCCTGGGTCAGCCAAACCCGTACACAGGAATGTCACACGGAAACCATAAGTTGCTGCCGTCCCCAGGGTGGCTGATCGAGACGCTAGGGAGGTGGTGAGGCCCAGACCTTTGGCATGGACTGAGCTCCTTTGTGCTAGTGGTCCCTGGTGACATTTCCCCAGAGCTGGAACACTGCAGGAGTCTGAGGAGGCTGCTAGCACTAACTAACCCTGCCTGGGAGCAGTGGTTACAGGGCAAGGTGAACCAGACAAGACATACTTGCCTGAAGGAAACGGGACCACAGGCACCGCGGCGTTTTCCAGCCAGGCGTCTAAGTGAAGTTTTAAGGAGACTTCGCTGTCACCACTATTACCGTCCTAAGGCAAGGACCGGCAAAGAATGGCTGGAAAAGCAAATCCTGTTGATGGAAACAAAGTTTCATCGGAACGTAGGCACACTCATGTACATACTGTTCCTGGTTGTTCTTGCACTGTAACTGCAGAAGTGAGCATTTGCCTAAAATTAATAATATCCCCTAAGCCATCCTTTATGGAAAAGATTGCAGACCTCACTCTGAACTACAAGGTATTTGTCTTTCTTCCTCTTCCTCCTCTTCTCCCTTCTTTGCTTTTTTTTTTTTTTTTTTTTCCACTACCAGGGACTGAACCCAGGGCCTTCACCTTGAGCTACATCCCGAGCCCTTTTTAATATTTTATTTAGCAAGAAGTTCTTGCTAAGTCTCTGAGTTGCACAGGCTGGACTCAGACTTGTGATCCTCCTGCCTCAGACTCTCACCTTTGTCGTTTTTTTGTTGCTTTGTTCTGATTTTGGTTGCCCAGCTCTTGAGTTCACTTCCCTGGGATATTCTTAAGCATTTTGGTACAACCTATCTCTGAGTAAAAAAGCAAAGGCAAGTACTCTACTCCCCCACATCCCTGACCTTTATGTCTCAACCAATCACGAGTTCCCACCACAGGCATGAGCTTGAGGACCAGAACACGAAGAAGCAGAGACCGTGGAGGATCCACTGTGGGCACGATGGTAGCCGGGCCAGTTTCCAGCCAGTAAGCATCAGCGGGACACCCAGTGCTGGTCCTAGAGGCCGCCTGGAAGTGGTCACTGCCGGGTCCAGCTACGCTGGGGTCCGTTTAAACTGCTCATTTGAGTTTCATTTGTTTCGGCTCAATTTCTGATTCTGGAATCAGTCTTTCTAGCAATTGTACAAACTACCCAGAGCTCTTTCTGTCTCCTTCTTATTTAAATTGGCCAGATTTAATTTCTCTCTCTCGCAACTGATAAAAGTCCTCTTTCCCACTTGTATGTGGTTAGCAGTTCGCAGGTCATCTCCCCACGTGGTTTTTGTTCTTCAGACAGCAGCTCAGAGTCTATTTTTCTGCTCAGACAGTAGGTGAAGAAACTGAGGCTAAACGAAGCTAAACAGCATCTGAGTCGACATTAGAATCTTTGTCTATGGGCCAAGCAGGCAAAAGTCTTTTTATAACACTGTGCTCACTGGCCTGATTTATAAGTTAAACAAATTCCCACTCCTCTTCAAAGACAGCAGAAAGCCAAGGGCTCGGCTAATGCTTACCAGCATCTTGTCTTTTTTTTTTTTTTTTTTTTTTGCCTCCTTTCTTCATGTCCAGGTGGCTTTATTTTTCATTTGAAAGTGTCATCACGACGTCATTAGCAAAGCACTGTTACCTGACCGCAGGAAGAAGTGTCCCTGGGCCATATGGCTGAGTTTAATCTACACGGTCACGGTGTAATCCCGTTGAAATGGCTTCCCTTTGCAATCAAAACCGAATTTCACACTTTACCAAGATGGGGACAGCTCCTGTCTTCCCCAGAGTAATATAGATCTCCCCAGGCAGCCAAGGCCAATGGAAATGGCTTTCTTCTGCAGGACAGCAGCAGGTGGGGGGCAGGGCTGGGAGGTCAACATGAATGGGAAGAGGCTGGAAGGAGAGGGAGGAGCTCTAGGGGCATCTGAGTCCAAAGTAATCCTCTGCCTTCACCTCCTCCAGATGGACCACTGGGGACGTCCAGCCCATGTAACTCTGGAAATGCGAACTGAGAACATAAGCCACCTTTATGGATTGGTGGCTTCATCTTATCCACCGTTGTCATTTCCAAAGTTAATTTTCTGCTATATCTCCTCCAAAGGGCTTTGTATCCAAGCCCCTACTTCATCAGAATCCCTAGTGACATGTACCATAAGTGAAGCTTTTCTCGTTAAGTCTAGGGTATGAGAGTTACTGGAGTAAATATGAAAAAACAAGTGAATGGCCCTAGTGAGGTAAGACAAGCCAAATAAAAGAATGAGCTACTGCTTTTTAAAGAAACTTTACCAAGTGGTAACATTGTCTAAAATTATAATACTCATGCTATGTTGGTGTTCATACATGTGTCCCTGCTGATGAAATTATATCAGATTCAGTGTTTCTACCCTCAATCAGGAAACACAAATCCAAAGACCTCTAAAGGTACATTTGCCCTGACGAAGCACTTTACTTTCTAAGATCTGTCTCCAGGATGCATAGATGGATAGCTATGGGCATATACAATCGTTGGTTTATAACATTTTCTTTCATTTATTCACAAATAGCAAACAAATTTAAAGAAAAAGAAAGAAACCTATTTGTGTAGAAATCCACAGATTAGTTAAGATATTATTGTACATTCAAGAAACACTTAAAATTCTGGAAGAAATATGCAATAGCTAGTTTTTTTGCTGTTTTTTTGTTTGTTTGTTTGTTTAGTTTCTGTCAGATCCCATAAACTATAAAGGGAACATGACAGCCATCTGGACTGCTGGACCCTGAGGGTCCAGAACAGGACATGGGAAAAGATTTGTTGATTTTATAACTGAATTAATACACATTCTTATTATAAGTAGAAGAGTGAAAGGGGTGGGGAAAACACACATATGTGTGTAATTAGATGCTGACTTTTTCTCTGGTTGGCTCCTCTCTTCTTTTATATGCACAATATCACAGATGCATTCACATTAGTAAACATAAATCTACATCGCCATTCAAATTCTGCGTGACATGCCATTGCATGAACTTTAAAACATTATTTGAAGCAATAGTCTACATTAAAGCTTCAAGTTGTTTTACATTTTATATATATATAAAGAAGATAATCCAGCACATGCTTTTGGGTGCCTGTCTTTTGAATTTGCCGGATTTTTTTTCTTATTAAAACTATCTATTTAGCTGTCACACAGCAAGTGCTTACTTGTGTGTCCCAGTGAAGGAGGGTGACATTCCCGAGAGTGGGGAGATGGGTCCAGTCGGCCGTCACCGTGGCCACCTCAACAAGAAGCCGTCTGGAGAGAGAGGATGCACTTCCTGTGTGCTCCATCGTCTTCAGCACCCCCTTCCGTCTCCTCGGGACGCGGAGACACCGTGCGTGGAACAAGAGGCCAGACGGATCTGTCCTGGTTCCCCTTCCACGGCTAAGAAATCTGGTCATTCTGTTTTATCCTGGATTTGTAGGGCAAAGAGCTCATGGATCATTTACACAGACCGCTTCGGCTGTGTCTCTGTGGCCACACAGTGTGCCGTCTTCATGTCAGCCCTTCTCTGTGATGTGCTGGGGTGGGCAGGGCATGGCTTGTAAGGCCACCTATACTTCAAGTACGACAGCGTTTGGACACATTCGGCCAACGTGACATTGTATAAAATAGCCTCAGAGCAGCCTCATCTCTGCAGCCCTCCGTTATTCCGGCCAGCAACCTCGAGGCATCTGTGTGCACTGAGGACCGACTCTGTCCTTGGAGTGAAGACACTTGCGTGGAGGAAGACGCGGAAGGACAAGTGGAGGAGAGAGCAAGAGCGTGCTGAAGGCAACCCTCACTCTCCACGGTCCGGGACTGCCAAGGAGAACGGGGGCCGAAAGGCAGAGGAGCCGCTGACCGACTGCGGCAGAACTGTTAAACAGTCCTGGCTTTAAAAGCGGCAACGTTTCTGTTTTCCTGCTACTTCTTTTTTACAGGTGTTTTGGAATTTGAAACAACTGATGGGATGGTGGGGAGGCACAAAGAGGCAGCGGCCCAGATCTTGGCATTCGGGGAGTTGAAGGAAGTTTAAATCATCTCACCTGTGCCACCGTGTGCAGCGAGAGTAATGATCATTCCTTAAACTCCTGCAAGTGGTTTCCTGAAAATTTCCTCCCAAGGCCGGTGGAAGAGTGCATATTTCTGAACCACTCCGGAAGGCAAAGAGGGTAAAGCTCCTAGAAGACAAGCAGAGTGGCTGGATTCTAACTCCCAGTGCTAATCCCCCAGCAAAGCAGTCGCTTCGTGGGGCCTAAGCTTTCTCTTCCATAGAATGAGCTGACAATGTCCTACTCACTCTGCTAGAAAGAGGGAAGTAACAGCCAAACCATCCTGCTCCTCCCAGAAGATGACCACTCATCTCTTGGAGGTTCCAAAACTCTGCACTCCAGTAGACAGCTGCTCTGAGACACACGAGACCGCCCCTCAGGGCCCTGGCAGCGTGGGCCCTGAGGAACAGCAGCACCCAGAGCTCCTGAGGACTCATGGGCAGCACAGCATTTGTGCCTCGTAGATGCGCTCCCATGCAGGGAATATATTTTCTTTACACACAAAAAAACTGAAAAGATGAATTCCCATTTGATTGTCAACTGAGTTCTTTGGAGCATCTTTTCTGCACTCCATTCCATGCTACTACACACTTTTACATCGTCTTCTTCTTTTATCTTGGCCGCTAACCTGGCAGGCCGTTACTTACATTACTTCCTCTTATGGAGAGGAGAGGCAGAGGTTCCACCCCAGCTTACTTGGCGGTGCATCGGGTAACTCCCCTCCTGCCTTCATTCCTCTCCTCCCCTCATCAGTACATGAATGTCAAGTCCAGACCAGACTATTGAAAGAGAGACAACATAGCCTTGGTAATGCAAGGACCGTGGCAAAGCACACACTGACCAGGGCCGTGCTTTCAGCAGGAAGCACATGCAGTTGGCCTTTGGATCTCACTGGAGAAACAAAAGGCAGCATTATGACAGGAAGGGGGCTGGAATTTGGGGTCAGGCAAACCTGAGTTCGAATCCTGTTTGTGTCGCTCCTGAGCTATGTGACCAGGGGCTAGACCCACGGCCCTTGAGTCTCACTTTCTTCATCTAAGGAAAATATAATAAATGCCACTGGGTGGGGGGGTTCGAATCATTAACAAAACCAGAGGCCTGGCCCTTGAACAGTGCTCATTAAGTAGCATGTAAGGATGCATTGTTTCTCCTGCAGGAAAATCCCCCACTGCTTTTAGCGGGAGAGATCTGTCAGGTCTGTGTGCAGGACCATCTCCCGCGACTCCACCCCAGGCATCCACAGCTGAGTCTTCAGAAGCTGGACCTGGGGGCATCGCAAGCATCGGGATGCTGCAGAAACCACCTGGAGGCTGAGGCGGCTCCATCTCCTTTGCTTGCAAACCCCTGCCCCTCTGGCCTGGCAGGCTTCACGTCGAGGTTCAATTCGCCATGCCAGTTTGTATCTGCAGCCAGCCTGACAGGCCAGGAGAGGAGGCGTTAATGTTTTCTGACAGGCGACCCCTAATTGTGGGAGCTTTTCTTCTGGGCCTTCCTGTGAAATTCTGACTTAGGCAAGCAGCATAACAAAGTGGTCCAAGGCCGCACTACACTGGGCTGGGGCCTTGAGGGGTGGGCTGGCCTGGCATTATTCATGAGGACTCTCAGCTCTTTTCTCTTTTAACTAACCTTTGAGTTTGATCAGAGGGCCGGCCGGCCTCCCTTTCACCGAAGGCCCTGCTGGCACCTGGACAATGGACCCAGACCGTTTTCCTAGCGCAGAGCGTGGGCTGGAGGAGGCCGGCCGTGTGCGCTGGGCTGAGGGCCTGGCCGGCTAGCTCGGTGTCCTCGGGGCAGGGTGGCTGCCCCAGGGCGAGCTGCCACCTCCCCAGGGCTCCGCAACTGCGACCCGCAGGGGCAGCAGCGGTGCAGAGCGGCTCCCCTCCTCCTCCACGCTCCCTCGCTCCCTCCTAAGGCTCGCTGGCTCCCCAGGGCTCCAATCTGGATACCTTTGCTTTTGTTTTTCTTTCTTTCTTCTACCCCTTTTTTTAATCCTGAGGGCGAGCACGGAGGTCAAAGCAGGGGCCGAATGAATGGAGTGGGAGACGGGAAGGCGAGGAAGCCAGAAAGGAGAACGACCAAGTCGAAGGACAATCAGGGCAGGCGGCAGGAGCGGGGGACCCCAGGCTGTGGGACGGGGAGGCCCGGGGTCTGGGAGCGGAGCAGGTGCTCAGCTTTGGGCCCGGCGTCCGCTTCCCGCCCCAC